TGTTGTTTAATGTTCTACTTATTTTGATTCCTTTTATTCTTCAAAAGGCAAGAAGTTTTTACGACTGCTATTTGTGATGGCAATTATTTTTTATACTGTAGATGGGTTTGGTATGTTTGTTTGAAATTGCAAAGCTGACTTGAAAGTAGAGATTATTTTAGGTTTCCCACTTATGGAAATGAATATGTAGTTATTCACTTATTCTTCTGATAGTGCCTCTGATTAAAGCTACGGTGAGGCTTGGCGTGCTGGGGCCTAGGAATTCTAGAGGACCATTTAATTGCACCAGTGGATGTGTAGTTTCTAGATTTATAAATGGTCTTAAGACCTTTAGCTACATGACCTCTTCATTTTGGTTGCAGTGGGAATTCTTTTCTCCATGTGCTTCTTATTTAGCTCAATTGATCCTGAATTTAGATTGTTTTTGCTTTGATGAAATACTTCTGGGGTTTTAAGGTGGCTTCCAAACTGAATTTGTTCAGTGAGGTCTGCTTAATGGTGGTTGCGATTGTAAATTACGTGCCTGGGTCCTTCATACATTCAAGTTTCCAAGGCTGTTATAGTTGTCAGTACCTTGAATCCAACATTGCATTTAAGCAAACATGCTTTGCATCTCATATACTAGAGAAGAGCTGTTCGTTTATTCAGAATTAAGCCAATCTACACATTTAATTCCTTTAACTGTTTGGTTTATTTAATATTGTAATTTGTAATCATCTGGCTTAGGACCCATAAATGCTGGCATTGTGTTGGTAATTCTGTTGCCCTCCATATTGTTTTATTTCTTGTTTTCCCCTAAGTCTCTAAACTAGTTGGAAGCATATTTACAATTGGATAATTTCAATGCTATACCATTCAGTTCCATTAAAATTAAATTATGCTATGGTTACAGTAAATTAAATCCCTTGTATTAGCTATTCTCTAGGTGTTGGTAGTATGGGACTGAATGCTCTTCAATTATTCATACATCATGCACTGCAGAAAAGATGACAGAGACGAGGAAGCTAAGTTTATGACCTAAACAACAAAGTACTCACAACAAAACTCTTTGCATGGGTAATTTGCCCCGTTTTTACTTTATTATGTGATAACAGATCAATCGAAATTCTCTTTCAAATTGTCAGAAACCATCCTCCTAATTTTTTCTTTAGAAAAAAACAAAGAATTGAATGACTAAAATATCATAAAAATATTTAAAATTAGTTCTTGTTATGTAGTTTTTAGAACGTGGTTGTATTACTCAAGAAAAGATGAAGATTATCTTTTTATATATATATATATATATATATAATTAAAGATTATTTAATTTGGTTATGGTTGTGGAAATGTTAAGATGCTTATATTGGGCAGTTACAGATAAAACTAGCAATATATATCGTTTTTTATACATTTAATTTGATCCAATTACGTGGTTTGGTGGGTTTGTTTGATTGGTTCATCTAATTGGTTTCTTATATGAAATGCAATATTTGACTAAAATTATAATTTCTACTTGTATTGATAAATTTATCAAACAAAAAAAAAAGGATTCCATTGTAATTCTCTTATAAAACACAACGAGATATTTAAAATTTAAAACTTAAAGAGGAGGGTAAGTGGTTAAATTCTTTGCATTTAGTCTTGATATTAGATCACATCTTTTTAACAAATATTTGTATTGTTAAATGATGTATGAATCAACTTTTGAGTACTCCGTCTACCAAAGAGACAGAGACTTTTGAAGATTTGGACTAAAAGGAAGTATAAATGTACCCATTTTGGTAACAAGGAGAACACCATTTCTCATTTTGGGATTTCAAGTAGAATATATTCTACTTGATTTTACAAAATACTTGATAGCAATAAATAAGGAAATGTAAAAAGAGCACACACACTCACTCTCTCTCTCACCTCTCAAAATAATGTTGTTAATATTAAAGTTAATTTTAAATAAAAAGACAAACATATCTTCTATTAATTATTTATTTTTTTCTCTTTTCTTTTCTTTTTTCTGTTACACTAGACTTCTTTTAACTATAAAATTATAAGGTTTAGTTTAGTGTGAAATTTAATTAGTTTTAAAATCAACTTTTTTTTTAAGAATTTTAAAATCATCTTTAATTAGTACAAATTAAATTTTAATTAATTTATATCCTAATTCAAGATTATATATTAACTTTGATATGAATATATTAATTTTCTTTGGTTAAAATTAATCAATTACCATTAATGTGAAAAAAAGGTTTAAAATGAAAAGAAAAAGAAATGAAAAAGGAGGAAAAAAATGAGGTTTATTTCTATAAAATTTCATAGATGGCAATTATAATTTAATATATTTGATGTATAGTTGAATTATAATTTAATCTAATTAAAATAGTTTTTAAAATTAGTTAAATCTTCTCACAATTTTGTAATTATAAACAAAAAATATTGAACAAAAAGAGAGAGAGAGAGAGAGAAACCCAAAAGAATATATAAAATGACCAATTATATAAGAAAGGTGTAGGTGTATTTTCAACTAAAGCTGAGGATAATGTTTGTATTTTACCCATTGTTTAATCGATCTGAGCACTCAATGGCATTTCTTTTGGGCTTTACCTAAGGACAAATTTGCTGATGAAGCAATTTAACTAAAGTATGAACTTATATACCTCACAACAGCACTTATTGATATATTTTAAAAAGTTTTAAGGTAAAATGAATAATTTATTCAAATTTAAAGGGGGATTCCACAATTTTACACAACTTTTTGTTTTTGAGAGCTTAATCCGCTCAATAATAATAAATTTAAGCTTATTACATATTCAAAATAAGAATAAATTTCAAGGAAACAATTCAACAACTGTAAGTTAAAACCTGTAATTGACATATTCAAATTTGAATAATGAAAATGAGAAAAAAAAATTCAGATTTATAAAATAAAAGAAAATGAATTTGATCCCTCTACTATTCTAATTATATTATTTTAGTCTTTTTTATCCAAATATTAATGAATTTAAATTATATATTTTTATTTAAATTTAATTTTAAAAAATCAATAACATTATTGAAATTTTACAATTAAATTTAATTTTGTATTTTTATGTTTGATGACATGATATACTAACTCGAACATGTTAATACAAAAAATTTTACTTTAAATAAGAAAATTTAAATTCTCTTTATTTAAAAAATATTTATGATTATCTAATTAAATTTATTAAAATTGAGACATTATAAATATTTAAAATTACAGAATTGAAAAAAGTAAAAAGATAAAATTCAAATTTTTACAATAGAAAATTATGAAAAGCGGACCGGAGTGAGCCCACAAAAGTGGTTCTGGCAAGTTGGGTACTGTTTGATCAGCTACGTACAAAGTTTTACACTGTATGTCAACCATTATTATATTATAGTACTAAGTAAGTATATTTACGAATTTCTATACTCTGAATGATATACCCACAACCCTTTTTGGCCTTTTCTCGAGTTTATATTATTTTTTACGTTCTCATATATTTTAAGTTATAAAAGTCCATTTTATATATTTATTTCGATAAAACCATAAATTATTAAAAAATTACTACCATAAAAATAATTATTAGACCTATCGATGTCTTAACATAAAGACAAATCTACATCCCTTAATCTTACCCAAAACAACATCCCCAGGATCCAATGATGACATAAATATGCTTTATTAATAATTAACAAACTTTTTTTATTAATTAATTTCATTTTCAATTCCTAATCCTTCCATTTAATCAAACGGACTTAACGACGGCATACCTTTACCTAACAATCATCACATAAAATGATTTTAAAAATGAAGAAAAAAGTTATCCACCTTTTTTTTCCTTTAACAGAAATTTTCCTTCAGTTTCCCACCTCCCAAACAGCGCCTTCACCCGCAACTATCAATCTCTGACACTTCTCTGCAAAAAACTCTGACAGGAAAAGCTTTTGTTGTCCTTCTCTTCAAAAGAGATTTGTCCCTTTTCTCCAAAAGTTCCTCGCCTTTCGAATCTATTCTCTCTCTTTCTCGCGCTCTAAATTCACTTTCTCTCTCCTAATCGATCATGCTTCAAAGCTTAGTTCCTCAATCTCCAATCAATTCCAACCCTAGCTCCAATCCTAACTCCTCCATGAAGTCAAAGCGCGTCGAAAGAGACGTCTCCGCCGCCACCGGCGACGATTCTGCCGCCGATGATCCTTCCACTAAGCGTCCTAACTTCTCCTCCGGAGACCAAACGGCCGCCGTAAACAGGAAGAAACTGTAATCGAAGGTGAGCTAACGGGGCTAAGACTTTTAGGCCTCCTGCTCCAATGCGCTGAGTGCGTTGCCATGGATAACCTCGAGGATGCCACCGATCTTTTGCCTGAAATCTCGGACGCTCTTCTCCTTCGGCTCACTCCTGAACGGGTCGGCGCGGTACTTTGCACACGCACTCCAGTCGCGTGTGTGAGTTCTTTCTTAGAAACCTATTCTCCTCTCGACACCAAATCGCTTACCTTAACTCAGTCCCAAAAGATCTTCAATGCTTTGCAATCTTATAATTCGATAAGTCCTCTGGTCAAATTCTCTCATTTACCGCCAATCAAGCCATCTTCCAGGCCTTGGATGGTGAAGATCGTGTCCACGTCATCGATCTCGACATTATGCAAGGTCTCCAATGGCCAGGATTGTTCCATATCCTCGCTTCCAGGTCCAAAAAGTCCGTTCAATGAGAATCACCGGCGTTCGGATCCTCTCGGAGCTCCTCGAGTCGACCGGGAGAAGATGGCCGATTTCGCGACTTCTTTGGGTTGCCATTCGAGTTTCATCCGTTGGAGGGCAAAATCGGAAATGTAACAGATCTGAGTCAACTCGGGGTGCAGTCGACTAAAGCCGTGGTGGTTCACTGGATGCATCATTGCTTATACGATATTACGGGGAGTGATTTAGGGACGTTGAGATTGTTGACTTTGTTGAAGCCGAAATTAATCACGATCGTCGAACAGGACCTGAGTCACGGGGTAGTTTTCTAGGGAGGTTCGTGGAGGCATTGCATTATTACAGCGCGTTGTTCGACGCGCTTGGGACGGATTAGGTGTGGACAGTCTTGAAAGGCACATGGTGGAACAGCAGCTGTTCGGAGCGAGATCCGGAACATCGTGGGCAGTAGTGGGCCCAAGAGACGGGTGAGGTTAAAGTGGAGAGATGGGGTGAAGAGTTGAGGCGGGTCGTTTCCGACCCGTATCGTTGGGTGGAAACCCGGCGGCCCAAGCTAGCCTTCTGCTAGGCATGTTCCCATGGAAAGGATATACCCTGGTGGAGGAAAATGGGTGCCTCAAGTTGGGGTGGAAGGATTTGTCTTTGTTGACCGCCTCAGCGTGGCAGCCGTCCGAATAAAAAATATACTATCATTTTTGTGTATCTAAAAGTTTCTAAATCTCTCAAGATTTTGGTTTATAGATTCATGATAATAATATTATTGGAGAAACAACTGTGTTCACTTGTCAATCTTTTTGCTGATGTTGCAGTTCTTTTAAGGGGAAAAAAAAAAAAAAAGGGTTTGTTCCATCAATTTTTGAAGCATACATAGAAAGATGTGAAAAAGTGAACCAAAAAAAAGGCTACACTAAAAGAAAAAGTAGAGCAAAGAATATCCCCCCATGTGCTCCCGTGAGTGTGGAGGATTATCATCTGGTGATAATGATAACAAAGTAGCTGCTATTGTTTAAATTTCATTTTTTTCTTTTTCTCCAGGTTGAGCTGCGGATGCTTGGCAATTCTCCGTTTCCTGAATAAATTGGTCTCGTACTCCTTTTACTCTTCCACTCCAGAAATTTTATTTCCTACCTATTTATGAATCCAAAAACTTTAGCCTTGGGTGGGTATCCTTTTTGCTACTAGCTAAGCCGAGGATGCTCGATATTTTTCTTTTTGTAACGATAAATTTAAGATTTTATTTTAAAAATGATTAAAAGATAATTATATAATTTAATTTGAAGTAAAAATTAATCTTATATAGATAATTAGAAAATTAAAAATCAAAGAATAAATTTTGAATTTAAAAAGAATTGTGTCAATGTGTTTGGAACATTGGCAGCCACACCCACAGCAGCACTTACTCAATAATTTTATCCTGGCAGTGAAAGTGACGTGGTTTGATCTAAGCTGGGGTTCGAAGTCTGAAAAAGTGTACTAGATTTAAGCAGAATGTGCAATTATTGATCATTGACTAAAGAGGGAGTGAGTCCCACCATGCAGGTTCTAAGGGGAAGTTGGTCTTTTTCCTGAAAAAACGGACAACTTACAAATACTTGGTTGCTGGTAATAAAAATTTGGTTGTGGGGGCATCTTGGTCTGTCTCGGGGGAGCCGGACGCCCGCACCATTGCATCCTTCCTGTTTTAGTGATGTTATTGGTTAAATCAAACACAAACTTCTCAATTTGCTGACGTGTTTGCTTAGCTGCAACTGCGTGTAACAAAATGAGAAAATACTGACAGCTATCTTTATTGTAATTCTTCCATTTTTTTTAGATTTAAATTATATAATTTTTTAAAAAATTAAAATTAAAATTAATAATAATAACTGATTTAAATTTTTATGTAAGCTTTAATAACATCATTTACATCCGTAAGATTAAAATTATTTTGATATCAATTGTAATCATTCGAATCATTAACTCATTTGAGAAATATATATATATATATATATATATAAGAATGCTACTGGAGATTTGGGAAGGCCAATGGCAGTTAGAGCCAGAGACAATTTGCTTCCCTGTAGGGATCCATATATAGAGTGGAATTCTGAAGTTGTTATTTCTAGCTCTAGTTTCATTGCAACTATTATATGGTGATTACCACCATTTCTGGAACTATAGTTTCATTAAGTGGAAGTCAAGACAATAAACTCCTGCACACACCTATCACAAAGATGCTTTAGAACTTCAGGAACTACCACCAAGTTTTCCTTTACAATCTTTTCATCCTGAAAAAATAACACTATGGTTTTGTATAGATTTATGATGTGTATTAGAAAAAAAAAAAAAAAACTCATCGTTCTTTTTCTGAATTGAGACCACTATGATTTTTAACTTCAGAATTAATGATTCAAAGATAGGAGAGAGATATATATTTAAGTTTTTTTGACCCATGCTCCTACCTTCAAAGAATACCATGTATTTGCAGCTGTGATGTAATTGCATTTTCTGTCATCTTCATTGATATTATTAGGTGAATGGTGGTCTATGTATGGTGGAGGTTGCCCAAATTTGCAACATTTGGCCGTAGGTGTTCTCAGTCAAACTTGCAGTTCAATTGGGTGTAAACCAAATAAGATTTCTATTGAAGAAATACATGACACAAGGAATTTTCTTGAGCATCAAAGACTCAGTGATCTTGTCTATGTACGATACAACTTGTACCTGAGACACATGTAAGTTGAAACACTAAACCCGACTTTCATCTATCAGAAGTATTCAACAACTGGATGGTAAGGAAATTGCTGACTTTCCACTAAATTCTTTTTATAGGGTTCTTAGAAACCAAGACAAGGATTCTGCGGACCACCTCTCATTTAACAGCAAAGAAATTCTTGAAGACTGGATTGCAGATAATGCAGTATGTGAAGAAGATTATGGGAGTTCAGATTGGATGTCACTGGATCCCCCGGTTGGTAACAGAATGCTTTCAGGAACCTCAGGTGATGAAACTGAAGACTTCTTGGGTACAGGTAACTGCACTTCGATGTGTTCTACTTCCTAGTTTATAAAAGTCTTTGGAAAGATAATAAACAAGTACTTCTAGCACGCATGCAGGGGTTGCAGATTTAGAGATTTTTAATGGATTGAAGGGGGTGAGGGAGGACATTTGAAAATACAGTGGTCCAGCAGAAACTGGTTAAATTGGAGAATCCATTTTCACATGAGGTAGGCGGTTTAAAACGATTTCTCCATTTGAAGAATTTATGATTGTGGCTGGTAATGCCATAGCATTCTGGCTAAGAAATATGTTAGACAAAGGAGGAGAAAGTGCCAAAAGTTTGACTCTGGTGATGGGGGAATGAATGCATGGTGTAGGTTTAGGAAATTTTGCTCCCTGTAAGGTTGAAATTCTTATTTAGGCTCTGCTCTCGCCAACATACTGAGGGAGCAAAGCTGTACCGTGTTCAATGTTCATACTTGAGAAAAGGGAACTTACCTCATTATAAAAGGATCTTGATCTAATATGCTCCAATGTAACCTCCAAAACTGGATCAGTTTCATGCAGCTTTCTTCAAGAATAGCTTCCTAGGCTTCTTCACAGAGAAGACGAAAGGTTAGGATCAGGATTAAATGGTGGGTGTTAACGTCCCGATAGGCTTAACTTATGTTTGCAAGGAGATAAACCAGAAACATGTCCAACCCAATCAATTTACTGAATACAAACTTGAAAGATGATAACATAAACCAACTGTGCTTTGACAAACAGGGCAAGGGAAGGAATGAAAACAAGTTCCCCAACCAACCCCAAAAACTGAGCAAGAAAGCATACACAAAATAAAGCTTTCCCTTTCTGCTGTGCATGACTTATATGGAGAAGGAAAAATACAAAACGAAAAATCAACCAAGAACCACAACACCTAACCTAATAACGCTTTCCCAAGATAACACCAATGATCACTGACACAAGGGCGACTCCCAAAATGAACTTCAAGCTTGTCAAAGCAGAAGCCTCCTCAGTGTGGGTAACTGAGGAGGAGGAGGAGGCAGCTTGCACAGAAGCTGCTTCCGACTTTTTCTTACTCTTACGTTTTGATGGCGCTGAAAAAGTTAATCCATCAATATCCCTGGATTTGACCTCTACTCCATCCTTGGATTCGGCTGCACTCCCATCACCCTGCAACATGATTTCTTGTAAGCAACTTTCAAATTTTCAAGAAATAAACCCTAATAAAGTTGGATGATAAGCACATTTTAATTCTTATCACTTGTTGAAGCTTTTGAGCTCCGGTGAGCAGGCAAACCTGTTTTAATAGATTTATAGGATCTAGATTTCAATTGTTGTGGCTTTTCTTTCATCGCTTCCTCTTTCTTTCCCATACTTTAAGGGTGTGATGTGAGGTGAATGTGAAAAGACTGGAAGAGGAGAAGATAAATATATGAACTGACCTTCACTTTGGCTCCAGCCAGTTGCAACTTCTCTTCCAACTCTTTGACCTGCTTCTCGAGAAGTAATGCTTCTTTATTTTTGGCTTCAAGCTCATCAAGGGAGCGTTTTAAAGCTGCTTCTCGTTCCAACTCTTTCTGAGAATCTGCTTCTTTCTGTTTGTTTCAAAGTTTTAACAGAGTACAACAAATGATTACGCTCAATTGTTTACTACTTATAATTCAAATATGACAATGATGAGAAATCTTAATTCAAATTTAGCAGTTTAACTTGATGTAAAAATAGTTTCCAAACTTGTTTTGATTGTCAATTTATCATACACAAAAGCATAACAAAGCTGCCAAATCTTAATAGATTTAGTGTCTAACCTGTTCAGTAATAGTTATCTGAGCAAGTTGTAAATCTCTTTGCAGTTGAAGCACTTGTTCATTGATGGCATCTCTGTCACTGATTTTTTGTGCATGATCCTCTAATTTTGAAGTTAATTCTGCCTCTCTTACAGAGGCAGCTGTCTTAACACTTTCAACCTACATGCAGCAAACAAAATAATCAGAATTATATAAAAGCACATTAATTTGAGAAGGTTAATAGTCAGTTTCCTTCTTTATTAACAGAGTATAACCACCTCTTCTTTCAATTGAGTTTCAACCGTCACCAACTGTCCTTCAAGATCTCTGACACGCGTTTGCAACACGGAACTCTCGGCAATCTCAGCCTTGAGATTTTTAATCTCCAATTGTAAAGATTCATTGTTTTCTTTTTCCTTTTTCAATTGCTCTTCAAGCTGTAATATTACAGATTGAAGTTCCTTCTTTGTATTTTGATGTGTTTCATTGAGCAGGTTGCTCTCCTCCATCAGCGAAGAAATCTGTAACATTAAAAATGAATTTTAAAGTAACTGATATTACGACAAGGAAAATCATCATACTGTTTTTTATTAAGCTACTAGTAAAATTTTCAACAAACCTGAGAGTCTAATCTCTGCCCTTCAGAAGTAAGCTGTTGTGTTAAATCTTCTATAGCCTTCCTTGAACTGTGAAGTTGATCAGCTGTTTCATCCTTCTCTATCAGGACAGCAGACAGTTTGCCCTCCAAATCACTAAGTTTTGACTCATACATGGCCAGTTCCTGAGTCAGCTTCAAATTTGCCTCAGCTAGTCCTCCACTCTCCGTTTCAAAGTGAGCAGACTTGGTTTCCAGCTCCTCAACAAATCTTTCCAGTTGCTTTAATTTAACAAGAGTCTCTTCCACCTCAACTTTTCGAGATACAGCTAACGTGGATGCTTCATGAGCTTGTTCTTTATATGTTTTAATTTGGTCTTCAAGCAAATTTAGCTTTCCAATCAATTCATTGGCTTCTGATTCTTTCTTAGTGTATTTCTCAATAGCTTCATGTAACTGTGCTTCTGCTTCCACGATTCGGGCTTCAGCTTCAGCTCGAAGTTCTGAGGCTCTTGTATGCTGATCTGATAATTCTCTAATTGTGTACATATGAGAAGCAACTTCTTGAGCAGTTACTTCCTTCTCCGAAACAGCTGAATTAAGCAATTCCTGAAGTTCATCAACTCTGCTCTTGAGCTGAATGTTTGTCTGAACCAACAGTTCATTCTCTGAGGAAGACTGAACAGCTTTATTTTCTGCTTCCAATATCTCTTTTCTGAGCTGTTCATTATTGCTTTCTAAAGAAGCCAGCTTCATTAAACTCTGATCCAATTCTTCTTTTAGAGATGTGGCCTTTCCAGCTGCTTCAGCAACCTGTTCTTCATAAACCTTTACCTTATCTTCAAAAATTTTAAGTTTCTCAAACAGAGATTTGGCTTCTGACTCCTTATTGGTGAAGTTTTCCATTGCTTTTTGGAGCTTAAGTTCTGAATCCCTTGTAGAGGATTCATGTAATGATTCAAGCTCCAAGTTTCTTGCAGTAGATTGCTCTATTACTCTTACATGTTGCTCTAGTTGCTCTTCAGCAGATTTGAGCTTTTCCATTACCTCGCTTTCTCTGAAACCAGCAGCCTTAAGATCATTTTCAATGCTTTCCAACTTCTGCTGTGTCATGTTTAAATCACTCCGCAATATTTCCAGTAGATTTTCTGCTTCGGCGAGCTTCCCAGCAGAGTCATGGGATGCCTCTTCTAACTTTTTCTTCTCGTCTGTTGCTAAATTCAAGCACTCTGTCAATTCCCTTTCCTTCTCATTGGCCATTT